AAATATTTTTTTCCCCCCCAACACGAGCCGCCCCCCGCCACCATTTTCCACCACCGTCTTCCGCCACTACCACCCACCCCCCACCACCACTCACCGCCCACCTACTACCACCACCCACCACCCGCCACCACCACCCCACTCGCTACCACCCGCCACTGTCACGCACCCACCCACTACCACTACCACTACCACTACCACCCACTCGCCACCACCCACCACCACCAGCTACCCACCACCCACCGTCACCACTTTTCACCATCGTCTTCCTCTGCCACTTGCCACCACTTGCCATTTCTCACTCTTTTTTATATTTTTTAATTTTTTTAAACATTTTGTTAATTACCAAACGCGTTTGTAGTTTATGTTTTTCTAAAAATAAAAAAAAAACTAATTTATAAAATTTTTGTAAATATAAACTGAAAATGTAAACGTTACCAAACACACCCTTAGCTATGAGTTTTGAATTTTTGATATAACATATAAAATGAAAAAAGTTATTTGATTATGAATTTTGAAAAAAAATTTCAAAACTTAATTCAAAAACTTATAATTAAACACAAAGTGCACTTTTGGGAACACAAGTTAAAAGCTGCGTTTGCAACTTGGAAATAAAAAAGTTAGCTTGACTTTTTTAGCAAGAAGTGATTTGAAAAGTCCAAAAAAAACAAGCTATGAAATTACAATTATATCCTTTATATTTTTTAGGTTACACATGGATAAAAATGTAAATTTTCTAAATTGGATAGGGATATTTTGATCATTTAATTGTGATATGATATTATAAACAGTCATGCTGTAGAGCTCTAATTAGAGCTGCTACAGTGCAGCTCTAATGAGCTGCCCACCCATTAAAAAAAAAAAAAATGAAGTAAAAGATAAAAAATAGAAAAAAAAAGACAAATTAGTAGTCTATTTTTAGAAGTCTAAATTATTTTTCTATTATAAATCAATATTAACCAAAAAAAGCCAAAAACAATACTAACTTCCCAAATTAGTTTTTAAAAAAGTCAAAAAACTTAATTAAAAATTAAAAATCAACTTTTAATCATCTTCCCAAAACATCTCAATTGAAAATTCTATTCAAAACTCATAACCAAACTCTTTTGAAAATTCAATTCAAAAAAATAATTTATCAATTTAGTCTAAAAATATAATTTGTTTATTTAAAAATTATTAAAAACAAATATAATTTTTTCTCCCCAAATAACAGGTGCGATTGGCAATTGTCAAAAAAAAAAAAAAAAAAAGCACTATTTCAGTCAACCAGCAAGACATCCAAGCGAACAACCGTTAGACTAAAATTTCAAAAATTATCTGATTTACCAAACATGTTTTCAAAATATGTTTTGAAATTGATTTAGAATTATAATTTGAAAACTCAAACCAAACATAACATTCAAATATGAGGATGGAAACTTGATTAGAAACACACACCAAACACAACCATAATTTTTTTTTTTCCCACTTTTCCCTTCGTTTAAACTTTCCCTCTACAAAACCTTAATCCAACCACAGCTTGAGAACAGGCCTTTGGTGCAGACCTGCGGGAACACATCAAGGAACACAAGCCAAACAGCATCGGTGCTATGCAAAATCATCACAAGGGCACAACAGTTACTGAAGGCAGTTATGGTCCGAATTTCAGTTCCAACAAGCACAACCAAAAGCTCAATTTTATACATCAGAGAGTGCAAGATATAGCATTCTCTATTGGAGTTCTAAAAACAAACTCATCAAACCATGGAGTGAACAACCACTGTTCTTTACATGTCTTATGATCCACAATATCAATAGCATCCAATTAATTCTGAGACAACTCCCCTAAGTTTCGTAACTCGATCGCCTTCTACACTTTCTATGGCACCAAAACAAAACCCAGAAGCAATGTCAAGCGTTCAATGACATATCAGAAACAACTGCAGCATAGATAGCAAGTATCAAAAAAGAACAATAAAGGGCTATTACATGTATATTATCTATGTGCATAGGCATGTGTGAATGTCATAAATGTTGGGAGCAGTCAATTACAAGCACCCCACAGGCGGGCTCACCAAGAAGCAGAAATTTGTGACAAAAAATGCATAATTGAATGTACACACTAAAACAAAGGGAAGTATACCTGCAGTTGAGGGAATCCAGCACCGACTCCGAATTCCAGCTAGGTATCTGTCACAAAAACATGCCACTTATTTAACAAATCAGCATGTTTATAATCAGCTGAAACCATGAGATGACATCAAAACATCATGTTAGGCAAATGTTGATGTCCATCAAACCAATTTCTCAAACTAAGAACCATCAAACCAACATCAAAATGAATATCTGTATGAAGGATACATCAGAATCTGTACATTGCAAGTAGTTATAAATCTTTATTCAATGTAATTTGATACAATTTCATTAAGTCTTACCGTAACGATTTTCATGTTACATACCACCAAGATTGCTCTAGAATGGGCACTTTCCAAACCCAAGGATGATGTGTGAGGGAGATCATTCAGAACCCGCTGGTTCCAAAACAGGGGTGGCTCCAGAAACATTAAATGAAACATTTACAGGAAACCCTCACGCATTTAAATATTTTGGCAAGCAGAGCCCTTAAATGCCTTAGTAATGTTGCTCCCCTATCTTGATCCATAACCACTAATGTGCACTCCCTAAAGTTTTGTCAACAAATAACCTACCAACAAGATTCACGCCTTGCTTTGTTTATGCATTTTAACCAAACAAAAAAAAAATATATATGATACAAGAGATTCAAAATGATACTGCCCTCCCATGCAAATACCTTATTCGAACTTCACAGGTGATATCACTTGCATCAAATCATAGTACGCACTAACAATGGCGTTTTAAAACTCAAAATGTACTTTCCATGATGTTTTACCAATTAGACTCAAAACCTAACAACTAGGCTCAAGCCAAATGCATGCTCATTTTGAAGCTACTATGAAAGGAAAATTGAACCCTCAACATTGACAGTACATACTACATGCTCATCATATATTTTCTGAAAACTTTCTAATAGCATAATGAGTTTCAATTAGAACTTTGAACCCTCAGACCAGCAAGAGCATTTGAAGGTGCAAAGCTTGTTTGATATAGCAAAAAAGGGTCAAGACTTCATCAAAATCTTTAGTCCAGCATTTATAGCCACTCTACGAACTTAGTTTGTTTGATCCAACTGGTATTCGTCAGCATATAGTTATCTTCGTAATATTGCAAATATAACCATGTTTCTCACGATTCACTATGTCTAACCATATGCAGCCTACATTGATTGGTGATGCTGTTAGCAAAATTTCTCATCATGGTGAACAATTAGACCTCTTTATTCTTTGGACTAGCATAATTTTCTGAATACGGAAATACACCAAAATGAGTTGACCTTTTCACTCAAATCTAATGTGTAGAACTTCCAAAAGTAGTAAGATACAAGCAAACAAACAACTTTTGGATTTAAGTTCTATGCTTATTACAAATGGCCATGCCACCCAACTTCCCTCAATGAGAAGGACAGATATTGCCCATGACCAAGCTTATCAAGGTCAAACATGTCACAAAAACAAATAGTTTTAAAGTTATTGAGTGTGTTCTTCCCTTTGTCAAAAAGGAGTCCTTGAGATAGAATCTACATCTTTACCATCAAAGATTTAGCTTTCATGCAAATTCAACGCAAATTGACCTAACAACAAGACAACAAATGCTTTGCGTCAAGTATAAATGTAATGCCTATAGCTTGGTTGCAATCTTATCCTCAGGTTGATTTGGATCATGCTAGAGAAATTGTTTCTCTTTATATGTATCCAACCGCTGTACTTCATAATAACACCACCAGAGACCTAGAAGTCCACTCCAATTTAGATGCACAATTTCAGTTCAAAAGTTATTTCCTTGAGTCTCTTTGTGTCATGTGTTTATTAAGTTTCGGTTGTAAATCTCTCGTCTCACGTCTTGTACTCTTTCAATACAGTGGGTTTGATTTGTTTGGGTTGGGTGTACTCATAATTTTTCCCCTTGTAAAGAGTTTTCTTCAAGGTTTTTCATGTTGAAAATTGCATTTTCCCTTGTTATTTTTGCAATTTGTGTGTAGTTGACTGACTGCGTGTTCACAATTCACAAATCAAATAACAACGAATTACAATTGAGTTCTAATATGGTAAGCTTACTTTATAGTTTCACATATTCATCCCCTCAAGGCACAAACAAGACCTTGTACACAATTTCTGTTTAATTTTAACTTCTAGATTCAGCAATGATCAATTTAAGATTTTCTTACTCAAGCACTATAGAGTTATGATATCATTGTGCAATTACATATAGAACCCTTAAATAAACATAGCAGCGTCCATACTTTCAATAAACCTGTTGTAGAGAACATAAATAGCAAAACTCAAAATCCTTATCAGCGCTCAATCAAAGCAATTAAACAAAAATACACAATTCACAACTAAGTAACCACAATTCAAATCAAATCCACCACAAAAACAAAGTGAAATAACAATAATTTCAAAGAACAGCCAAGCAGATATGAAAAACCCTAACCTTTCCGATCATCCGAGGCATCATGGAACTCCGGCTCGTCCTCATCCTCCGCGGCAGACGCCACAGACACTTGAGGCGCATTACCACCATCCTTCTCATCCGGATACCTCACAACCACCACAGGACAAACACAGTGACGAACACAGTAATCGCTAACACTCCCGAGCCTTCCATTGTTACCTCTCTTGATCGCACCAAACCCTCGGCTCCCCATAATCACTGCACTCAACCCTAGCCTCTCGACTTCCAAGCACAGCCTCTCCTTCATGTCGTGGTCCTTCACGATGTGGATCTTGAACGGTATCTGAGCCTCGACAAGCGGCTGAGCGAGATCGCTAGCCTTGGTGGTGGTGAAGGTATCGAAGTCGTCTTCGAGCTTTTGCTGAGACTCTTCGTTAGTATCGACGATGGAGAGGTCTACGGATCCCCAATCGGCGCCGTAGAGGACGGAGGTGGGGCGGACGTGGACGAGGATCACGGCGTCGCCGGGGCGGAGGTAGTGGTGGACAGCCCATTTGACGGCGAAGGCGCTCTCGTCACTGAGGTCGACGGCGATTCCGATTTTGCGCTGGGCCCCGGCGGTGGGTGTGTTGGTGGCGGAGGGGGTGGTGGGAGGAAGGACTTCTACTTTTATGCGCGGCGAGCGTGGTAGGTCAGATTCCGCTGGGGTTTGTGGCGCGGCTCCATGGTGGTTTGGTTTGCTTTGGTTTGGATTGGATGAAAAATTAGGGTTTAATAATGACCGTCCGATCGTTTGACTGGGGGAGTTCGCGGAATTTGCCTTCTTTCTTGACTTTGCCCCCTGAGCGATGGATAGAGATTGAGGGGACGGAGATAAATGAGAGAAGGTTTAGGACTATACTATCTGTGAATCTCTTGATTGGTTGGCTGGTCGGTCGGTTTTGTTTATTGTATATAAGGGTAAATTACAAATACATCCTTATATGATTTATTTAAAATACGAATTATTTTTTATGATTTGAAAAATTATAAATATCTCTTTATCAGAATTTTTTTATTTAACAAAATTAATTGAAAA